CAAGTACATAAAAACCAAGTAAAAAAATCTTTTGAAAACTATAAAGTTGTCAGTTTTATAAAGATTCTGCAGTAAGGGTAAAAAAAAAATAGTTTGAGTTATCAATATTTTTCATATTCTTAAAGCAGAACTTTTTCTTCCTTCAAAACTGCATGGAAGGACAGAGCTGCCAGGAGCCAGAGAGTCTACAGCATATTCAAAAAATTTCAGCTGCAATGAAAACTTTCACATATTTTTAATTAATACCTTTCTCAGGGGAAAAAAAAAAATGAGAAAAAGAAAAAAAATTCTTCAATGTCTCCCAAGAATTTAAGCTTCATAAGTTAGCAGCAGCTTCATAGCTTCATAATACACTGTCTTCATACATCTTCAGAACATTCAAAATACTATAAGAAACATACTTAGAAACCGTTTAAGTATTAACTAACATGCTTGTAATGCCTTTAGCTGCGAGGTTTTCACTCTGCCACCCCAGAAGCAGACCATAACCACAAGAGTTCCTCAATCTAATCTTCAAGAAACCAGACTGTGAAATGAAACACAGCACTACTTTCGGTACTTACTGACACTTACACAAATTGCTTTCCACATTGTTTTCCCACCAAAACAATATTCAAATCCATCAGTGTCAGTGCAGTTTGAGTTCTAGATATAGAAGTTAGCTGAAGGCAAAAGTCAGCTGACACAACACAATGAACAAGCCAGCTTCAGCAGAACTCTGCACAGACAGGGTTGCTAGGAATTTGAAGAGATCAACTAGCAAGGAGCCCAAACCAATGATGAAATTAAAATTAAGTGTCAACATGCAAATTCTTAAGAATCAGAAGGTATCCGTATACTTAAAGAGTACAAGAAAGCAGAAAGTTATGGAATTACATTACATTATTTTCTTTCAAGAACAAATTATGTACATCTTTGACACCACTGAGGTTAATGAAGCTTTTTCACCCTATGAAAGAGGATTTCATCTACACACAAAAAACATTAAAAACAAGTGTGGGACATGGCTGTAATGGTGTTAAAAGAATGTCTCAGAATTGTATGAGAAGCAGAGTATGGAATTGTCTCTATGACTTTTTTTTTTGTAATAGAACACTGCAACTCAAATTCAGAACTATTTATACCATTCACCCTCAAAAGCCCATTACAGATCTGATGCAAAGTTACACTAAAGCAAATCTATAAAAACAAATCAAAGAAAAAATGCATAAAACCAAAACCAAACCAACAGCAAAACCCACAAAAACAACAGAGAAAAAGTTTCAGCATCTTAATGCACATCCACAGGGATTTATTTGAGCCAAAATCCTGAAGTCCTTAAAGGGCATCTTAAAAAGAACTCTTTAGGTACTGAAATCTTGTTATGATATTAAAATCACCAGATTATAACTCAGAATTTCACAGCTTCAACACTAGCTCTCAATATACTATGCATTCATCATTTGGAAAGAAAAAATATTAAAAAGCACATCTTAAAGTTTTCTAATACATTGCATTGAAAAAGGCAGTACAAAATACCAATTTAACCAAAAGTTTTTGATGTGTGGTGGATGAGCTTCTAGGCTTTTTTAATTCACTTCACTTTTTAGAGCACCAAAAAACCCACCAGACCATCTGTGACAACTGTTCCACGCTTTTGTTCGCCCTCTGCTGTCTGAAATGCAGAAAGTAACACTCATACAGAGAGCCGTACAACTCAGCAAATTCAAGCAGTATCAGATCACTGCAGTTTTGTTTTTAGCTAAAAATCAAGGCGGGGGGAGGGGGAGAGAGAGGAAAATGAATATGAGAGATAGTCAGTGGTTCTACATTAAAGGAAAACCCCAGAACACCTAAACAAAACAGGTTCTCAACTTACCAATCAGATATTTCCAGAAATCTGTATGTTGATATCCATAGCAGGAACAAAAGAGATTACAGAAATATATAAATATTAGGAAAAAAATATGTTGCCATTTCTTGCAACAATCATGAAAACTATCTTGAAAGCAGATTATTAAGCAACAGCAGTTAAAATAGCCGAAACACTTACACTGTAAAACTGAATTGGCTTTCTGCTGGCCACAGGAGCAACATTCATGATGATAACATTGCTGCTATTGAACTCCTAGGAGTGCCTTACTGTACTTTGCACGCACATGAAGAAGTGTCTGGATCACTTCACATCTCAAGGTCAGGGCTACGACTTTCGGCATTCTGAGAACTGACACAGCTTTCAACTATTTCCAAAATTCTGCTGACATTTTTTCAAAGCACAAGCTGAACGAAAACAATTTCCTTTTTCTGTTCCTCTTCTATGATGAACCAAAACATTACCGATTTTCCACCTCCAAACCCTTTTGCCATGCCCAGACACACCAAACTTTTCACTGATAAACAGTTGAATATTATCACCAATAACAAACAATATTGCTTAATTCTTATATTGTCACTGAGCACAGCAAGGAATACCTGAAGCTTGCAGACATCCAGTTTTCCACTGAGTATCTACTGGGACAAAGCACGTACAATTCTAACAGAATGCTGCCAGCAATCTCCAATAAAGTACATTGAGGCAATGTAACACTTTTACTCAGAAACAGTTTAGAAGAAAAAATTAAGCAGTCTAGTGCAATAGTGCTGAAGCGGGTAGGGAAGCTTCAAGTAGAGGAGTCAAAAAAGTTTTCAAGACTCTTGGTGAAGACCGCATTAATTTGGTGGGCTTAGTGTTAAGAGTCCACTGGTTACACAGCTCGTAATAAGACAGGTCTGTCTAGACTTACATGGTGCAGGTGTAAATGCAATCATTTTGTTGACAGAAAAAAAGCAGTGGAGAACCACACGCACTCCCACATTTTAAACAACCTACAATTTAAAAATAAACAAAGAAGCAGTCTTTTCATCTTCACTTGTTTTCTCATAAAATTCTCACTTGCTTCAGCATATTTTGATGTACCCATTTATATCAGCATCCTTATGAATTAAATTAACTCTGTTATTAAAACTAAATTATTAGAATTGTATAATCCTAGTTATATCTAACTTCATTCATGAAGGACACCAAGAAGATTCACATTAACAATAGCTGCTGCAGTTCTGGGAACAGAGAAAGTAAATCCGTATGATGCTTATTTATATTCTTCATTATCCTCCAAAACTTACACTCATTTGCATTAAAGACGATCTCTTATTTTCTCATTAGTCCACAGGAGAATGAGACAACAGGAATGAAGCTGAATCCCAATTTACCTACTGCTGTTCCTGCATTGGTTTGGCTGTTTCTTTTAGTTGGTTGAGTTTTTAATTTTTATTTTTTTTTTATTTTAGTTATGAGTTGAAGCAGAAGGCATTTAGCTACAACACAACTCCTCCATTTCTTCTTGGCATTCACTCAACATAAGGGAGCTGACAGCAAAGAACTCTTATCCAGGAGAGATCAAGAATGGACTCATACTAATCATTTAGACTCATTTCTTAAACTGTGTCTACCCTTTAATTTATCATTAATCAAGAAAAGTTACTTTATGCAACCAGGCACTCCCCACACAAGCAAATCAGTTCCCTGTCTACGTAGATGAACTAGAGAAATTCCTCTGTCTTCCATCCACATTGCTGGATTGCCATCGCCATAGCTGTTAATGGTTGAAAATACAAAAGAAAGGATGGAATGAAAGAAACTACTAACAAAGCACCTGTCATCCCTCCTCCCACACAGATAATCAGTAATTTTGGTAGACTTCACACTATTTTTTCCAAATGTTAGTCTTTATCACTGAAGGTCTAATTAGCAGATCACTGCTGCCAGTGTAATGCTGAAGTACAGGACAGTGAACAGTCGATATCTTTATAAGTCGAGTGCCAACGCAAGCTGCACAAGCGTACTCATGTTAAATTACACACAACAATCAAAATCAGTTTCATGGCATTGCTGGATTTGACTCAATAAAGGCAGAAAAATCCTTGCACTAGACAGCTTCTCTTATATTTTGCACCGTCTCCAAAATACTCCAGGAGTCGTATTCAACAACACACATGCAAGAAGGTCCCATTTTGCCACATGCAACATGCAAAACTTGTACGCCAAGGACAAGTTCCTCTCTTTCTTACACTAGATTCTCCCATGTGAAGAACAAACCAGAAACAACTGAGACAGATGTTTACAATCACTGAGAACAGGGTCCTCATTCGTAACTGCTTCAACACCATCCAGTCACCTAGCTGGCTCTTCGTACAGCTAAATCTCAACTCTCTTTGTCTAGGTCACTGTGCCAAAACATGAAAAAGCACAAGACGGATAAATTTATTTTAAAAATAAATAAATAAAAACAAAGGCAAGGTAGCATGTAGAAATCTTTATTTCCATATAATTTTTTAAAGGAACTAACATATTGGTAGATATGAAACCTGATTGTACCTGCATCAATTCTTGTGAATAATGTAAATAAAAATCAGACTATTTCAACATGTCCACAGGTGATCATAGAAGCTTGGCTAGAACTTCTTAGTCTGTACTACACAAAATGCATTGCTCCCACCTTCAGCCATCCATCTGTATATGGCAAACACTACAAAACCCTCAACAGGACAACATAAAGCTCATAAACACAAACTTTCAGAATGTGGACAGCATCAGCTCTGAAGATATTTCCTCAGCTGCCAGCAGATGCATCGTTAATAAAACTTGCATATACAAATGTCCACAAAATGTCTTATTAAGATCAGTTCTGACAGTGAAAGATAACATCTGCCATTATGCAATGTCATAACAAATTACTGCAAAGAAACAGATTTTTTTTTTTCCTCTGTATCATTAATTCAAGAAAATTGACTACAAACAAATACAGTTATCTACAGAAGAACTCAAAGTGCAATATATCTTGCAGCACTTCTACAAAAGAACAGTGACTTCGAGGACCAGACAGGAAAATAATTTTGAACAGCTGGAAATTATCATTACAACGTAACAATGCAAAGTCATAACACTGTTTCCCTGTCTGCCAAAAGCTAAACCACAGACTTACCTTAAGATACAGAAGCAGCTTTTGGCCCCAGAAGATAAGCGACAGAACCCAAACCTCTGTTTGCTGTCAATGTCTGTAAGGACAAATGTAAAGTTCTGTCCAACTTGGCTAACTGCATGGCTGAAAATAAGAAGAATAAAAAGGAAAAACTTAATGCTGAGCTAACTTCAAGTCAAAGGTATCCATCCAACCTAAGTACGCAAGTCCTATAGCATTTCCTCTTTTACTAGAAGGTCGTGTTTGGGGGTTTTTTGTTGTTGTTTTTCCCTCCAAGAAATTAAATCGGAAAATACATATCGATATCTCTAGAAACTTAAAGCAAGTGGCTTTAGTGTGGTATGATACTAAACAATGCATTTATCTTTAAACGAAAAATGATAAACTATTTTCAAAGCAGTACATACAGTACAAACAAAACCCATGTTCTGTCACGCAGGCAAAATATTATTCTTCATTTGAAAATAGGTTTACTCTAAGAGCAAGACAATGTTTCATAAATAACATGCTGAGCTTATTTGACACTTGGATATTTACTTACTGAAGTCTTGTATGTATCTACCAATTCTGTAAGTATGCCAAATAGACCATTCCTCAGTGTCCAGCAACTCTGCCCATGCTGGAGGACTCTCCTTTACTCCAGCAGCTATGCAATCAGTTAAAGGAAAGAACACACTAGTGTGCAAAGGAGGAAGAGATAACTGGGATCGAAAGCATACTGCACTAGAGCCAGCTATGACTGTAGGCATAATTTTTAAGACTTTAAAACAATTTTTCCAAGTATTGCCTCATCTGTAGGATCTTAATGGCTCTTCAAGAGCAGCACAAATGAGCTAATAACTTCATGGACTCTGGCTGCCACTCATACCCCAGTAGGAAGTATCACTCTAGCAAAATCTACCTGGATTGGAAAACTCAGGTAAGTGATGCTCAGAATGGTCACATCAAAAAAATCTGCTTTACATTTAAGCACAATGCTTTTTGAATGCTATTTACGAACAAAATGAAAGACGTATATAAGGTGCACCACATCTATCTAAAGTTAATCGAACACTCATGTGGTGATGGCAAATTCCATTCAAACTAAGCCAATTCTCCTGCCACTTTACTGAGATGTAGTTATACTGTAGACATGTAAGTTTACTACTTAACACAAATGCTGACTTTCAGTGGGGAAGCTGTGACTACTAAAATTATTAGCCGACTTTTTAGATTTGATATCTCATAACGATATGAAATTAACACTTATTTCAGGTTGTCTTTTCAGTGAGAATAGAGAAATATGAATAGAATTTACATGTGCATCTTTACAACTCAGTAACTACAAAAAAACACAGAATAAATTCAGGCCATTTAACTATCATAGTAATGAGCCCTAAAAACAAGCAAATATCTGGAGAAAATAAAGAAAAATAGACTTTCATAAAGAAAAGTTGGATCCATCCAGCACTAAGTGCTCCATATTCACAGAAAGACAAAAAGAAAGACACCTAAGAGCATTTCAGTAGCCTGAGAATTAGACGGCGCGAGTACTAATATCCTACAGAATTCTAACTGTCAACAGAACAGCATTTCCATAAACCATACTGAGCTGGTAGGGTATACCAAAAAATCCCTTACTGGTGTTAAGTTTTATCTGTAAAGCTTGGATGTAATGTTACTATGGTGATTTTACTATGGTGTTTTAGAAGGGGATTACATACTTAATTTTAACAAGGCTAAGAGCAGAGTGTGTGCAAGAAAAGCATTCTAGCTGACAATTAAAATTATGGAACAGGAAGAAAAAAACCATGCTTCACTCACAGCAGGGAGAAGCTTGTTTATCACCCAATTGCAACAAGTTGGTAAGTTCCTTCCCAGCAAACCTAGAGATTTTTGCATTTGCATTTATGTGATTCACAGAAACTAAACACACCTAAAAGGCCTTGCTCAGCTTTCAGTTGTTAATTCTTTATAGCGTAAAATAAACTATTCATTATCCTGGTTAAAGATGTCTTTCCTTTTGCTCACTCTAACCAAAGTATTTTTGCAAGACCTTGTGGGAGGATCTCATACTACTTTGGGCTCTGAGCTGGTGAAAGGAAAAGTAGTCTCTGCTCCTCAGTGGTGAAGCATGTATGATCATCTCCATCAGAAGGTCTTCATTCATATTGATTGTTTTTCCAGAGATGCTGAAGAAATGTCCTACACAGAGTATTATTCCAACAGAATAATTCCAACCCATGTTCCTCATGTATTTGAACAACAACCCAGTATCTCCACTATTATAATAAAAATTTTTTAAATCTCAACATAACAGAGAAATTCCAGTTCTAAAACTGTCATAGCTTGAAACAAGGCCATCTACTCGATGGAAACAGTACCTAAATATTTAGAATGTCTATCCTGAAAAATGTTTTGGTGTTTCTTTCTTCTTTTGATTAGAAAGAACAAAAATTTATAAAAAAAAAAAAAAAAATCACCCGTAGGACTGAGAATTACAGTAATTGTAGACCTGATCCAACATAGCACTTTTGAGGCATACAGAGGGGGTTAAAATTGCTAGAATACAAGTCAACTCTGTAAGTCACAGCTGCTAAGGACATTTCAGGCATACAGATGAAGAAAATACTTCTTCCAGAAGCAGTTTCCTTCTGTCTTAGAGCAGGAAAATGGTTTACTGAGAAGACTGAGGAGAATATTAAAGCACTATCTGAGATAATTTCATTACGGGGCTACCTGCTCACTACTTTCAATAACTTGATTTTAAATGCAGTATGAGAAGTGTATAAAGAAATACTCAGTGATCAACAGTTAATAGAAAGAGACAAATTACTGTACATTTGTCACTTGCTGGGTTTCAGATAGACTCTCTATGAACAGGTATTCAATTGGTTCTAAATCTGAAAAGCTGAAGAAAACTTTTCAATTCAGGTGCACTGTATTGTTCTCTTTGCCATGGTCCCACTGAATTCATTTGTAGTGATAGAAGACTGTTGCTGTAACATGCAGGTGAGTTCCTTAGTCCCCACACAGTTCCAAAGCCAAATTTACATCACAAAGGACAACAGCATGTGCTTATATACTTTCAAGTGCACACTCATAAGTAAACATGTACACTTATTTATTTGTGTATCAGAAAGAGATGTGGCAGACAACTCTTTCAGGTGCAATTTAAGACATCTTTTAATCTAAATTTTAGGTATACCCCAAGACTACAAACCCTTCTTAGTTTTCAAAATGGCTGGCTTTTCTGTGTCAGTCTGTGATGCTCAGTCAAAAAACTGAATCCAGAAGTGAGAATTACTTTTCATTAAGTTCTCATGTGCACCCCAAATGGGTTTTCAATGTTTCTATCTTTCAAAAATGTTATATTGCTGGGGGAAAAAAAAAGAGAAAACAATAACAAAACCCCAGGTACAATAAAACTACATGTTATAACTATAGACGTGTCTGCAGTATAAAGGGAGCAACCTTAAACATGCACATGAGAAAAACATATACATCTACTTCCCCAATCCCTTCCCTTAAGAAAGGGAAAAAAATCAGTAAAAAATGATTCCAAATTACCAGGAGAAGTTGTGGCTTTTGAAGGTCACCCAAATCAACAAGCATTAGTTAAGAAGTTCTTGCTGACAGTCTAGGATATTCAAATTCTCTTTTTATGTACAAATCAGGTACAGTAGAGGTGTTGGCAATGTCAGCTGTTGCCAGCAGTGCCTCACCAGCGTCTCTCAACCCTGACCTGCAGGAACTGCCCAGAGGGCTGAGAGAACATTATCACCTGCACGACCTGTTCAAACTTTCAGCTTCCTCCAACTACAGATTACCACATAGCTGACCTCAGACGTGATTCTAACCAATGAAATGCTGCTTCTATGTGGCATAAGCAGCAGTGCACTCATTCAAAATCTGCTTGCTCTCACCATGAAATCATCAGACCTAACTCACAGTGAGAACAAAACTAAAAATCTAAAAAAATAAAAAATTCTGACAATTCCTAAATCACAAGAATAAATTTTCTCAGTCGGCTACAGTTCTTCTCTTGTCCATTAGAAACTACACCACAATTTTTCAAAAAAATTAGAACCAGACTTAAGAAGTCACAAGGAAGGCATCAGCATTCGAGCTAATATCGAGGCCTAGAAATGTAAAGCACTTTATTAATTCTCATTTTGGCAAATGAGAAGTAAAATCCAGATGTAAAGGAGTTCTGACATGAATATGCATATTTGACAATTACTACCCAAGCATTTTCACATCCAAATGTTACACAGAAGTAAAACAAAACACACTTTTGTGGCTGCCACTGAACAGCTCAAACTTTTTATTTTTATTTTTATTTTTATTTTATTTTGTCCTTAAAAGTCCAGGACAAAGGGATTCTGAGACTAGAATGTGCACTTTGGCACTTTAAATCACAGTCAAGCAGACAGAACATTAAGAACAATATGTTTTTTACTTTCTGCAGTGGTTTTATTAGAAGCTTATTTTCTTGTCAAGTTTGAAAATCTAATCCTACCTGTCCATGTAGAAGGGGAAACAAAACTTGGTCAAAGTCTGTAGAACTTCCTGTGGAGAGAAAAAAAAAGAGATAATTTATATATCTAATGGGACCAATAAATCTAATATTAACCACACCACACAATTTCACAACTTTGCCCTGAAGAAAGACGAGACAGATGAAGAAATATGGGCTTTATCAATTACATGGAAGGAGTACCAGGCAGTCAATCATGTGAAATAATAAACATGATCAAACTTCATTAAAAATGAAAAATTAATCAAGATTCACACATGGGCAGGCAGCAGGAGCCATCCAGCAATTCTCTAAAGGGTAGGAGGAGGTTGGGTTGTTGAGTGTTAACACTTCTCTAGGGACAAGCTCTACCCTGACCATATGGATCATAGTGAATAACACCAACCCACATGGGTTTGGCCTGGCAGGACCACTTCTGCTGGCACAGCTTTTGACTGTTACCTAGGAACAGAGGTCTGGGGGATTAGAGAATACTTCCCAACATCAGCAAGATAAATAACAAAAGATAAAGCCAATAGGTCTCCTAGCAGGAATGTTTAACACTGCCTACTGCTATTAGAAAGACAATATGAGTGTTACAAGACTGATTAAAATAACATGTATTAAAATAAATACAAACTGTTTCTAACTACAAACCATTTTCTAAATGTTGCAAAACAGCACCACACACACAGAACTTTTAAATATATGTATGATCTCAAAAAAAAAAAAAAGCGCGACTGTGAAAACTGAAAACATTATTAATATTTTTATAAATCACCTTCCACTGCACGCCTTTAAATGAATACAGTCATTAAAGAAGCAAAAAAATACATGTACCAAATAGTTGTGTTCACACACGGAAGTAATCTGTTCACGCTGTTCCTTCTATAACATTCAAATTTGTATTACAAAATCCACCATAAAGATCAACTCAGATTGCAGACCTACTACCACGCAGTTCATTGTCCATTCTCCTTCACAGTGAAATACTTCAGGACTTGTAACATCATATATATTTCTGATTTCAGCTACAAGATTACTCTGACTAGATGGCAAACCTGATAAACCCAACACTTTTCTGGCCTATAGTAATAAATTATCACCAATAACTAAATTGATGCTTTTCGCTTCATTTATTTCTAAAACCAATGCCACCATTCAACAAATAAACTACATCAATCTAATAACCTATTCAATGAAGCGGAAAGCATATTGACTCTCTTGCAAGAACATGTTCCTCCTACATAATTCAAACAAGCACATCCCATTCTTAGCAATGGTTTCAAGCTCAACTGCTCCAGAACTATTCTTCGGAGGTCTCCTGACAACTAAAATGTAGCAAGTTCTTTAGATTTCACGCAGAAACAGATATGGACACTTTGACTTCTTGACAGTTTATTGATAGATTATTTAACAACCTTCTGTTTTTAAAGAACAAGAAAGAATCTATTGAAGGATGGCATGTAAAGCAATGAAAAAAACTCCTTTCAATTTTAACAGAGGAAACCTGTGAAGCATCTATGCAGGTTTCAGAGTAAAGTCTGCAGAAATGCATTTTCATACAAAAAGTCTTGATAGTAAAGATCTCATTAACATGACTGGATTCATCCTTGTGCAGTGTCTCTGACTTCCACAGGGACTGAGAGTCTCCTGCACAACTCCAACTATGCACAAAAACTGCACCTGGACAAATTTAAGTTATTTCACACTTGTCCTTTACCCATTGCTGAAAGCTCAAACCACAAAAAAGAAAATCAGAATTGTAAAGCAATTGAAATTATAATTGCAGCAGAGTAAAGCGTATTCATTGACTTCATTGTATGTAGTAGCTACATTCTGAAATAAAATTGTTAGAAGGTAAATAACATAAAAGTAGAACATACTCTCCATCATTTTGATAAAGCTTTGAATGTTTACTGTAACTGCCAGTATAAAAACTTATTTGATAAAACATGTTAGAATCTCATCAGCATCGTGTTACTGGAGGATAATAGACTGTATTACTCAAAACTCTCTTTCCACTTCTCTTAATTTTTATGGCTTCCTAAAAACAAAGTGTGTTTAAGAGAAAATACAGTGAATTTATTTCACTATATACTGCCCTGTCTTTCAAAGAAAGACTTTGCAATTATATTATAACATAGTTTTTACATTATTGAACAAAATCTGCCACTCATTATATACCAATAGCAATCTGTGTTGTCTTACAACTGAGAAATTGAGACAAGTTAATAACAGACTTAGTTCTAAATTTTAACTATTAAAAATCACACACAAAATTAGGCTCTAATTAGCAAAAATGCGGATCCTTTGCATGTAAGACATAGAATTACCAGAGAACCGACCTATTCTTGCTCAAGTAGCAAGCTTGTTAATGTAAATATGCTTTTTTTTTTTTTTTTTCGATTAAGTACTGCTCAGTTTTAAAGCTTAGCAATCCCTACATCAAATACAACTTTAGGTGATTGGTTACTTACAGCCTCGAAAAAAACCATTCTCTCTTTAAGACTCCAAACAAAAAAAAAAACACCATAAAACAAAACCTAGAACTCCTCCATGCCAGCATCTTCTAATCCGTTCCATGTTTTTACCTGACATGAAAGATAAGTGTAGTATCTATAGACTTTTTTCTTATTTTATTCCCTTATGCCTATTTTTTCAAAGAAAAACCTACAAAATGCCTCTAAAACAAAACATCTGAAAAGCAAACAAAACAATACAATCCAGGACACACAGCTGATAAGCGTAAATTACCCAGTAGCTGAAACCCACGTCTCTAGGGTATCACATGCCAGTTTTCTGGATCAATCCCCAAGTTTATATTTTCACAAATCTTCTTACATGCAGTTTGATTTTTAACATTTTAATGAGCAAAAAGTGCATCTATAGCAGGCAGCCAACACAGTTAAAGTGCAGGGCATGAACTGCGTCCCCTGAGGGATTCAGCCCAGCCGTGTCACCAGTGGCTTTAGGACATACACCACCTGGTTCCGCGTCCCAAGGTTCCAACTCTTTTCATAATCAAAACACTGCTGACATTATAAACCCCACATGGGTTTTCTAAAATCCTTCCCAATCAATAAAGCCAGTACATAACTTATCGGAGACAACACAGAGCTCATTGATTAAGTTTGGTTTCAGTAGCAAAGTTTTCAAAATAAATGAGCCAGGAAGAGAGTGTTCAGCCCTTTTGTGCCACACAGCAATTTATGGAGGTAAGGCAGTCTCTGAAACGATTTCTCTCTCCCTTCACACTCCACACAAAATACACTTTTAAAGCACACGGAAAAGAAAGCTGCTAAATACACTGGTATGGAGAGAAGACAACTCAGTGATGAAAGAGATAAATACTGGTTTAAATTCTTTATTTCCAATCAGAGGAAGTACAAGGGAGGTTGTCACAAGCAAAATGCTGGACAGAAAGGGTGGAAAATGCAAGCAGTCTTTGTCTTCTGCAGCCAGAAAAACCACCAGAATCCATGAAACCAGCATGAAATGCATCCTGTTTGCATGGAGGGCCACCCAAAAAGCTGCAGGAAGACCTCACCAGGCTGAGGAGGAAAAAAGGAGCTCTGAGGGCAGGCAGGGGCACAAAGGGGCTGCAGAAGCACTGAGCGGCCTTCAGCGGGGCCATGGAGCTCTGCCTGGGCCTGAGCTGCAGATGCTTTTGTGGGAGCTATTCTAGCTGATAGCTACAGAACAAAACAACTTACTTTCAGAAACTGCAAGCTACCATGAAGTGAAATGAGGTACTAAAAGAGAAATTCACCACTGAAAGCTTTTGTGTATTTATTATTTCTGCTCAGAAACAAAATCAAATTTGAACATGTTAATGTTTGATTAATGCTAATATTTAAAAATGTTAATACAACAGAGTGCTAAGATGTTAAGTAAAACATTATTCAACTATTTTTAAATTTGAATAGTTCTTTAATCTACCTTATTACCACAAAATTGTAAACTGCTTTCAAATTTAAATCATCTATTTGCATAATTTTAAGCTAAGAATTATTTAGATCACCCACTGCAATGGAACAACAGGATTAAGAACTCCAAACAGATGTCAGTGCACCCAAATAACCAACTTAAAACAGGCAACAACTCCATGCACAGAACACTGAAAGGAAATGTACAAAACCTACAACAACGTAAACCCTGTTTGCTACGCAGTTGGTCAGAATTTCACGTGTGTGTTCCTAGGAAAGGAAACATCTTTATGCACGCCAATAAGAAGCACCACAGTAACAAGCGCTGCTGCTACCTTAAACAGCACTTTACAAAGCAGCTACTTTACAATGACCAGGAAAACATAGTCTTGCATCAGCATTTTACTGAAATAATATAAATCTAAGAAAGTAATACTAGAACAACAACAACAACAAAAAATCCATCCCCTAACAAAAACAACGAGTAACTATCAGCTATCAGTACATTTCATCTTCTAAAGGTTTAGACATTAACTTGCATTTATTAGTAATGTCAGCTTATATCAAATTGTTCTAAAGTTATTATTAAAGGTTATTCTCATCAATTATGCAATTGTTCCAGGTAATCATGTACTTAACATTCAGAAGCATTCCAACAGCTTTATAAAATGAATTCTCAAAGTAAGGTATCCTGCATGGAGAGGCTGCGTCACAACAAAGAGCTCCGATTTTTGCATGATTATCAGATCACAGAAAGCAAAGAACAGTAAGCACTATTTTCCTCCATTTAAAGAATCCGTTTTTTTTTCCAGAACTGACAACACGCATTCTTAAAAGAAGAAAACCTTGGCTCGCAAAACATTTATATCAAACTTCATCTTGCGTTGGTTTTAATGATATCATTTTACATCTCACAGCAGTGCTAAACATTAATACTTTTGATAATCACCAAAATTTATTGGGAATCAATTTTAATCACTTCTTTAGAAAGCTCTTCCACTCTAAAAGAAAACAGGTGCATCAGTTACAATTATATTGTCTCAACTTAGTTCTCTACTTTTTAGTGCTCTTTGTATATCAGCACAACTGCCCAGGACCAACCCATCCATTTGCTTAGGGTTCCA